CTGGGCCCATCCCTCACCTCCCTCCTGTTTGTTGGGGGGAAGGACTGAGAAGAGGAAGGTTTATTTAAGCAGTTAGATCTGAACACAAAAAAATGAGGAGGGGATATTATTTCCTCGAGGAAGGGACAAGAACTGTTTGCTATTCATCACAGAGGCTCATCCAAATGACCCCTGGGGAGGAGTGCATGTGAGCATGTGGGGTGTAACATGGAGGAATTGGCCACTAAAGGAAAGAAAGGAAAGTTCCTATAAATAGAGCTGAAATAAACTCCCCAGGAGCAGTTGGGCAGGTTTAGGAAAGCTGGGTGACTACCCAAGTCAGGGCAGAGGGCACACTGGATGGCCATGTTGAAGTGATGGGGAGAGAGAGGCACGGAAGGGGCCAAGGTCAGGACAGCTAACCTTGTATTCCCGAACCCCACCACACTTCCTAAGATGTGTATCTGCCCTTCGCTAAGGAACGTTATTGGAGAAATTGAATATGGACTATATATTGGATAATATTGTATCAATGTCAAATGTCTTGGGCGGGATAATGGCAAGTGGTTATATAGGAGGTTGTCTTTGTTCTTAGGAGCACATGCTGAAGTATTTAGGGATGAAGAGTCCTGATATCTGCAACTTTCAAGGGGTTCAGTAAAAAGAAAGAAAAAGAAACTGAGAGAGTTAAAGCAAATGTGGCAAAACGTTAACAACTGGTGGATCTAGGTCAAGGGTCCATGGGGGTTCACTGTACTATCCTTCTGTTCATCTGTAGTTCTTCATGTAAAAAATAACGTTAGGGGAAACAAATGACTGGCGCATGACAGCATGAATGAGTCAACATGCTGGCTAAAAAAGAAACCAGGCACAAAAGAGTACAGCTGTATGACTGCATTTATTTGAAATTCTAGAACATACAAAAGATGCAGTGTTTTACACTGTAAAAGATATCTTTCCAGTGGAAAGATATGGTGGAAAGATATCAGAAGAGTGGTTGTCTGAGTGTGTGTGTGTGTGTGTGTGTGTGTGTGCTGGGTGGGTGGATTGACTGGGAAGTATCATGAAGGGACATTTTTCTATTTCTATAGGGGTTTGGGTTATGCAGGTATGAGGCATTATTCAAAACTGGGAAAACGTACACCAGAGATTTGTGCATTTAATGATTCGTGAAATTCATGTCAAAATGAAAAGATGGTTAAAATAGTGTTGAGGGAAATTGTTAAGTAAGGGTAGAGTGAGGTTTGTCTTGAATTTCTGACCTCTTGGGGATAACGCTCAGGATCTTTCCCAGGTTCCCAATATGGCCAGGCATATTTTGAACGCTTCACTCTGAGGGTTCAGAAAGAATACATTGTTGCCCAAGTTTTGCAAGTCCCTAGCGCCAGAGTTTGTCTCCGAGCACTCAGTCAGCCATGGAATCAGTGATGCAGCTACACTGGAGGCTTAGCTCTGTGTAGAGTGTGGCAGCCAGCCTCCAAGATGGCGCCCAATGACCCTTACCTCCTGGTTTTCTAGCTCCTCCCATACTGAATAGGGCCAACCTGTGTAACCAATACGATGTTGTGGAAATGAAGCAATGTGTGACTTCTGAGACTATGTCGTAAAAAACAGCACAGTATCTGCCCTGCTCTCTCTTGGATCACTTGCTTTGGGGGAAGCCAACCCTGCGGAGGAGTCCACTTGGCAAGGAACTGAGACCTCTTGCCAACAGCCTGCACCGGGTTGTCTGATGTGTGAGTGAGCCTTTCTGGGAGCCGATCCTCCAGTCTCAGTCAATCTCTCACGTGACTGCAGCCTTGGCTGACATCTTGACTGCAACCTCAGGAGAGATCCCAAGCCAGAATTATCCTGCTAATTCACTCCCGAATTCCTTATCCACAGAAACTCTGAGGTAATAAATGTTTATCATTGTGTTAAGCCACCGGGTTTTGAGGTTACGCAGCAATAGATAACTAACACAGAAAAAGACGCTGAGAACTTCAGAGGACAAGAAGGCGCCTGTCGGCAGGTGTGGCCTGCCTTCCTGTGGTGAACCACAGGAGCGCTCCCTTCTGCCCGCAAACCTCACCCTCCTGCCTCAGTTTTCAATCATCCACAGCAGCCCAGGGAAAGACTGAGAAGTATTTTCTCTTGCCATTCTGACCCCATAGTTGTACTATAAGTCATTAAACTTCCTCAAGACTCTGCTCTCTAGCACCATCCCCACTCTACCCCCACCTCAGCCCCACAAGAGGAATTCACCCCTCACCACACACTCACCTCAGGCCCTCGTGGTACCTCACAGATCCTAAAGACAATTACCCCTTGGACCTGAGCGGTCCCCAGGTCTCACACATCGGAAAGTGATTGCCAACGTCGTACATCTTCCTGTCTAACCTTGAGCCCTTCATCTGAGGAGAATCTCCCCATCTGCAATCAGTTTGTGTGGGCAGATGCAACACCACTCTTTTAAAGGAAATTTTATAAAAAATGTTTTCTTTATGTAACTAATATAAGCTCATTTTAGAAAAATTGGAAATCACATTCAGCAATCACTGGTAAGGGTTTTTTTGTGTGCGCGTGCGTGTGTTCTCAAAGGAAATTCACTATAAATAATTTAAAAGAAATGAAGTGCTGAAGTAATTTATTTTGTCATAGCCAAGGCTCTGAAATCAACATATTTCAATCTGGAGGCCTTGCATATCAAAGGCATATTCTGGAAAACCTCAACTTAAATCTCCTAGAAATAATGTGGATGCAGATAAAAGGGGGGGGCGGGGAACTGATTTTTGTGGTCTTCTTTCCCTCTGACCAGAAAGAAATGGCCACCGGTGGGGAGGATTGAAGAGAAGGGAAATGACACAAAACACTTGCCCTCTGACGGGACCTTTGCTCAATGCCTGGTACCTGTGATCTCTGTGGTCACCCCCTAGATACCTCTTTGCCCCTCAGAGTGGCAGCCATTGCCCCTTTCTCAACACAAGCGCCAGAGCTTTGTTCAGACCCAGGCCCCCTGAGGCCACAGCCTACTCTGCCTAGTTTGCAAGGGCTGCCAGAACAAGACACCACCAACTGGGTGGCTTGAAACAACAGAAATTTATTCCGTCACCATTCTGAAGACTACAAGTCCAAAATCAAGATGTAGGCAGCATTGGTTCCGTCTTAGGGGCTCTGAAGGAGAATCTGTTCTGTGCCTCTCTCTTGGCTTCTGGTGGTTGCCAGCAACCCTCGGCATTCCTTGGCTTGTAGACACATCTCTCCAGCCTCTGTCTCAGTCTTCACATGGCGTTCTTCTCTCTGTGTGTCTCTGTGTCTTCCCATGGACCCCGGTCATTGGATTTAGGGGCCACCCTAATCTAGTACGACCTCATTTTACCAAATTACATCTGCAAAGACCCTGTTTTGAAATAAGGTCCCATTCTGAGGTTCCAGGTGGATATGAATTTTGGGGAGACACTGTTCAATCCACTACATCAAGGTTCAAAGATTCCACATTTTAGCTATCAAAATGACAACACCTGGGTTATCCCCAACAGATTATAAATCCCTACATCATGAGAAATAAAGGTGGGGGAGAGATCAGGAAAAGAACGACTTTCAACTTATGAACTCTGCTGAAACACATTTGACTAAGCAAGTTTTCTGGAGGGCCCAGAAGAGCACAGATGAAGATTTTGCTGTCTTCCTTATTGCTTGGAGAAAGCAGACGAGCAGTTCTTTGCAGGAGGAAACATTCTAAGACGTGGATAGTGAAAGCAAACGTTCTACAAACATAAGGGCTGGATCACAACTAATTTAGGCAAGAAAACCGTGCAATGAACGAAATTGTCTTTACGAAGTTCTTAAGGACGTGGGAAAAAGCTTATGTTGCAACGCTAAACAAAAAAGCCACGACTGGAAATTGCGTTTGCAGCATGAGCTAAACTATGCAATAAAGAGGAAACATTTCCAAAAAATAAGGCTGGTGCCAACTGTGAGATGGGGAGATGGAAGGAGGGGGCTATTGCCTTTTATTTTACACACTTCCATATTGTCTGAATTTGTTCCCCAATGGTCATGTAGCACTTTTTAAAAATAAACTTTAAATTTGAGCATAGTTTTAGATTTACAGAAAAGTTGCAAAGATAATGTAGAGAATTCCCATATTTCAGGTATCCAGTTTCCCCTGTTGTTAACGTCTTACATTTGTCACAACTAATGAATCAATATCAATACATTATTCTTAACTAATGTATACCCTCTCATGGGCTTTTTAGTTTTCGTGTAATGTCCTCTTCCTGTTCCGGGACCCCATCCAGGATACCCCATTACGTTAGTGATCATATCTCTTTAGGTTCCTGTAGACTGATGTTTTCTCAGACTTTCCTTGTTCTTGATGACTTTGATAGTTTTGAGGAGTTCTGCTCAGAAATTTTGTAGAATGTCGCTCAATTTGGGTTTATCTGATGTTTTCCTTATGATTAGACTAGGGTTATGAATTTTTGGGGAAAAGACCACAGAAGTTAAGTGCCATTCTCATCATATCACATCAAGAGATATAGTACTTTTTTAATGAAACATACAGCAAAATATATTTTAAATAAGGATTATGCTAGAAAAATAGTTTGACTCTAAGTGTGGATTATAAGGATTTTCTCAATATTTTTCTTTGTAGTCTTCTATAAAAAGCATAAAACATATTTTATAATTAGAAAAAGAATTAACAAAAAACTCCTACTGTAAATACCCAGGAAGGGCACAGGGGTGCTTGACTGTGGGGAGAGGCGAGGGAGGGAGGAGTCTGGGCCTTGCTCTGGCGCGGGAACAGAAAGTGTCAGCCTGATGGGGAACACACCAGGCCTGGCTGCGCGCTGAGAGCAGTCAAGATTACTAATGGCAGGACAGAAAGTAACAGCAACAAAAGGAGATCCAGGGCCGGGCCGGAGCTGGGAAGACAGCGCTAATGAGAACACTGAGATGCATTCCAGGCGAAAGGGTAACCCAAAAATGTAAGCAAGCCTGGAGCTGAGATTAGTTATAGCCAAATAAGTCATGCGGGATTCAGAGGGCGCGGGCGGCCGGGTGGAAGCCAGGGCACCTCTGCGTCTCTGAAGCCTGCGACGTAATGCTTTGTATAAATACTGACTTTTTAGGGAAGACAGAGAGGAGCCTCTCTCTTTTTCCACTGCGGGGATTAAGAAAAGTTTATTGATTTTTAAACAGGCTGTTTCTAATCAGGGCTTATTTTAGATCTAATAAAGTTGCTATTATTATTTTTTTAATTGGGTGCAGACAAGGGAATTCAATGTCAATCTATGGGTAAACTATTTTTAATTGCCTTGGAAGATGTTACATTGAAACTAAGATTATAGGTCACATGCGAGTCTCAGGGCCCTGGTCCCACAAGGGTATTCTGCTAGAACCAGTATGTCACCCCAGCTCTTGATCCAGCGTTAAAATGGCTGAGCAGATGGGTTAGTGTCCATATAACAGGGTAAATGACCACAACTCCCAGGAAAGCATTCTTTCAGTTCTGATGGGCAAACTTCTACTCATGCTTCAAGACCCAAATCAAGCGTTCTGTGAGTCTTCTTACGTTCTCTCAGGCATCACAGTGACTTTGTCCCCTGCTTCCACTACAGAATGCTGTAGATATTTTAATCGTTGCATTTATCGCGTTGTTCTAAATCGTGAATTTGCGGTTCTGCTCCCCCAGCAGACTGTGAGGCTTAGGGAGCAGAGCTTGTAACTTATTCTCATTTTGTTTTCTTTTCTCTTCCAAAGTAGCTCAGTTCCTAAACTATAGCAGGCACTCAAATACATGTTTTTCCCGGGTAATAGACTAGCTATACCTCCGTAGATCTGGTTTGTTGAGATCCACCTTCATATGTGCATTCAGCCAATTCTTGATTTACTATGTTTATGAGGGATAGTTGTTGAGCATTTCCTATAGACTTAGGAAGTTCTGTCGTAGGATATATAAGGGTTATAAAGGAACTCTAAGATGTAATCTTGCAGTCTTGTAGACCCTAATCTTTAAAGGGATTCAATAGAGGAAGATATTGTACAATCAGAGAACAATAGGAGAGTATGTAACTATAGAAAAGTAATTCTAAGTCAAGTGGCCCAATGCGTGGTTAAAGGTAACTCCTGGTATGGTGTTGGGGAGGAGAAGGAACCATGGGGCTGGTGTCATTGGGGAGGGACTTGGACTGAGGCATGGAAGACAGAGACAGTTAAACCAGATAGAAGAAATGGGGGACCAGGCCTCAGACCTACAGAACAGCTGCCAAGGTGGGACTGAGCACCAGGGGGAGCAGGCAGTGAGGAAACCAGCCCGGAACTTCCCACAGATTTTGGAATCCTCGCGGTGAAGGCCTGGGGTGATGTCATAGGCCACTCCTGACTGACTGAGAGGCCAAGTGCTGAAACCGCAAGCTGGGAATGAACCAAGTCAAACTGGGGTGAGAGACGTAGCATCTGTGTGCAAGCTGGGGGAGGCTTGGAGACAGCATCTGGATAAGCAAGCGGATGGATCCAGGGGCCACGGGAAGTGGGGGTCTGACAGTGCAAGCACCAGAGCCCCAGGGAGCCACGGAATGCTGTGGGTTGATGTGTCCCCTGTCCCTGACCTGTATGCCTTCTCCTCTCTCCAAGAGAGATTTCTGCTCCCTAAAGCACTCACAGGCCCAAAGCCATTCCTGAGGACAAGAAGGGGCAGCAGGAAAGGAAGGGTGGATTAGGGGAAACCTAGAAAGGAGAAATAATTCTCAGTGGAGGAGATCAAGGAAGGAGCGTGGCACTTGGAAAAGGCTTTGATGAAAACTGTGATGGTGCTACCTGCTTCTGGGTGCATTGTGCCCGTGGGCAAGTTGCCTGATGTCTCTGAGCCTTAACCTCATTTATAAGACCCAGATGCCCATCTGTATCTTGCAGCTGTTAGGACACAAATCATATTTGGCACTTCTGGTTGCAAGAAATACAGACGCACTGAGATCACCTCTAGTACTCAGAAGGTCGTGGCCAAGTTCATTGTAAACACTCATGTGGCAGATAGGAGGACGGGATGTCAGGGCGGCCCCTCCCAGCCTCATGGTGTTGAGGGCAGACACAGCCGGGACTCACTCAGAGAGCCCTGGGAGGAAGCCTGGGGTCCAGAGCAGCTCTGGCGGCAGACGCACCTCTCTGCTCTCGGGAGAGGTTCGTTGGTTGCCTCTCTGCCATTTCATCACCAAATCCCTCTTGAGTACCTACTATGTGCCAGATACAGTGTGTGTGCTGGAGACGCAGCATTCCCACAACTCGATTGGTTGCTGCCTCTCTTTGTGTCTTTTGGCTTCTGCTCCCTGTACTTAGTGCTCAGCTCTATTTACAGTTAGTCTGTATTCTTTATTTTCAAGTGACGGAAACTCAACTCAAAGTAGCTTAAGGAAAGGGAGCACGTGGTGGCTCACACTATAAACAAACCATGGAAAGGCTGGGGTAGGGAGAGGTAGAGGGAGGCAGAGGGGAGTGAGGTGGTCTCAGGGTTGCCTGGATGGAGCTCACCAGAGCGCAGGCCGGGATGTAAAAATAGCTGCAGATATCCTCTGAATAGATAATGCTTGGCTGCAGTAGTGGGAAGGACACTATACAGGAATCACAATTCCTTTTTTTTCCTCCCCAAAGCCCCAGTGCATGGTTGTATATCCTATTTGTAAGTCCTTCTAGTTCTTCTATATGAGTTGCCACCACAGTGTGGCAACTGATAGACAGGTGTTGTGGTTCTGCAACCCGGAAAGGAACCCAGGCCGCTGAAGCAGTGAGAACTCCGAACTTTAACCTCTAGGCCATCAGGGCTGGTTCCCTTTATTTTCAATGTTCTCTTTTCTCTGGTTACTTATTTCCCCCCCAGCTTTGTTGATGTATGATTGACAAATAAAAATTGTATACATTTAGGTTGCACAATGGGGCCCCTAGCTGGCCCCCAGTTTCCCATCTTGGTCCCAGCTGCGCTTGGCTACCAATCCCGTGGGCAGAGTAGGGGTGTCCAGAACCTCAGGAGAAGCCCAGGGCTTCATCACCAGAGGACATGGCTTCTGCGTGGTTCTCACTGTCTCTCTTCCTAGGAGCTGGAATTCTGGACGAGATCACCTGATGCCTGAGTTTCTGGGGCTGCTTCCCCCTCTCCAGGTGGGAACTTGCTGCCGTCTGGAACCTAAATGGGGTTTGAGTGCTGACCCTCTGTTGGTGGCCAGACACATCTTCCCTCCTCCCCACCTGCCCTATTTTGCCAAGGAGAGGTGCTGCCTATGTGCCAGTCTTGGGTTGTAACAAGTTGCTTTACTAATTTTCTTTTCGTCTACACTTACATTCAGATGCAATCTCTCTCATTATACCTCTCCAAATGGTCAATATTTTAATAGTGACCATTAAAATCCACCAATATTTTAATAGTGTTCTGCTCTGATTTAGAACTTCTGCTCTCACTTCAAATTTACTGAGGACCCTCATAACAACAACAACAATAAAGAGCAACTGCTGGTAGACCACACCTGTGTGCCCAACACCAAGCTGAGAGCTCCACACCCTGCCGGTGCAGTCTGAGTTATTCTCCTCTTTCCAGACGCGGATACTGAGACTCAAGAGGCCACCCCAGTGTGGACCGCTGGTGCACGACAGAATCGGGATTCTGACCAGAGCTGTCTGGTCCCAGAGCCTGTGCTTGTGACTGTGATGTGATGCAGGAGAGTGGACTATACCAGCGTGTAGACTGCCTGGAACAAATAGAAACCCAGCTGAGTTCCTGCAATTTACATAGGTAGTGTCTATATTTTTGAAGGTTTTATTAAATCTCCAGGTTACATGTTTTTTTTCCTGTGGAAAATTCGAAGGGCCCATGTCCCATTCTATCCCACCTTCTTCTCCAACACTTCGCCATTCCTACTGCCAGTGTTCTTCTAGGAACCGTGAGAAACACAAAGAATAATCAGACGTAGCTTCTGCCTCTGAAGGGTTTTAATTTAGGAGACAAATGGGAGATGAAAAGGTGCTGAATGAAGCTCGAAGCATTTCTTTGCTGTTTCCTTCTGGCTGCCTAGAAGTGGCATCAACTTAGTTTATTCTGCTGAATATCTCAAATCGGAGAAAGGCCTTGAACTCAATGGCTAAGGACCAAGTTTTAGGAGTATGATGTTTTTGTGTGTTTTAAGGGGCAAGGATAAGACTTGATGGCGGGGTGATGCTGTCACTGTCATTGCCATGGAAGGTCGCAATCTGCCCTTGCCCAGAGATTTGGACGGGAGAATAAATTTTAGATTTGGTCACTGGGGAAGCCATTCCATTTCCCAGTCCCTCTGGCCTGCCTTGGAATTATTGTTGGGTTCAGTTTAGCAAAGCTTTATTGATGGCCCACTATGAATTAGACAGTGTGTGAGGAAGGGTGGGGTGTTTAAAGTGACAAAGGGCATGGCCTTTGACCTGGAACAATTTATTATCGAGATAGAAGGACAGATTTGTCAGTAAAAACTGATCAGTTCAGTGACAGAGGTCTGGATAAGGTGCTATGAGAGCTCAGAGAAGGAGCTTTAGCCCAGTCTTGGTGTGTGGTGTCATACGGTGTGTGCATGTGTGTACACGTGTGTCCGACTATCTTTGTGTATGTCTATGTATGTATCTATACATGTGTCTGTCTCAATGTGTATCTGTGTCTCTGAGTGTGTCTGAGTATCTGTGTGTGTGTGTATCTTTGTTGAAGACAAGACGCCTGACCTAAATCTTGAAAGGAGATTCCAAGCAAAGAGAAGGGCATGAACAAGTGCACGGAGGCAACAGATGACAGGCAGAGACCCATAAGCTGGGATGTGAGGTGGGGAGGTCAGGAGAGAAGTCTGAAGAAGCAGGCAGGGGTTAGGACTGGGAGGCCCGTGGATGCTGTTTGGCTGAAGCACTTGAGTTAATCCCATAATAGAACGGGGCCCTGGGAAGCAGGGAAAAGACATGGTTAGATTAGCCCATTCGAGACACCACTCTTGTGGCAGCCTGGAGACCAGAGTAATCATAGGCAGAGGTGATGATGGGTCACTGAGGTAGTCACCAGGGAAAACAATCCAGGAGAGAGTCAATCAGGGCCTGAATTCCAGCAGGGGAGAAAGCGAGAGAGAGAAGCTTCCACACCATCCTGCTGTCCCCAAACCCAAATGACATTTCCATCTCCTCCTCACAGCCTTCTCTCCTCTCCACCCCTTGCCAGCTTTTCCTTTAACAACTCCCCAGCCTTCCAGATGACCCAGCCTTCTGAAAGGCTCTCCTTAAACAACTGGGAAGAAGAAGTCAGGGGGAGGGGAAGAGACTCCATCAGAGTTGGCAGAGACAGCACCTGCGTGGCCTCCCCACTCCCTGCTCCCCATTCCTCGCGTCCTTGTCTGCTCACCGTGCAGTTTCATTTGCTCTTTGCAGTTTACTAAGTCCAGTTACTTCTCTATCAGCCTAAGCGAATTGTGCACGTAGACACGTATGAGAGGGTTAAGTTATGGGATAGGGGTTCTAACTCTGGGGGGGTTTACAGCACCATTTCTTTTTTCCTTTTGATGGGAACAAATTTTCCTACTCCCTCCTCCCCCGCCCACCTCCCCGCCACACTCCAGGTTGTTCAAGTGAAGACTGACCACTCAAGGGGAGGTTTCTGTTACCTTCGGAACAGGCTTCCACCGGGAGAGTTTCTCTTAAGAGCTTATTCTTTGCTTCCAGAAGCCCTTTCAATAAATATCCATCCCTCAGATTAGATTCTCATTTCAATAGTATCTGTTGTAGGGAGAGGAGATACTTAAAATGTAATGAGACTGTTAGGAAATGAATCTGTGGCATTCCTGCTTTCTTATTCTGGTGAAATCAAATCCAACAGGCATTTTTGAGCACCTGCCCTGTCAATGCATTGCACTAGGGAGTGGGGTTGGTATGTGGTTGAGTAAGATGAGTAACAGCACAGTCCTGTCCTCCAGGAGGTAAGTCCACAGGCCCATGGGAGCACAGGGGAGAGCGGGACTCTGCCCAAGGGAGCTGGGTGGGTGGGTGGGAGGCTTGTGTCTGAACTGGGTTTTTAAATGGTAAGTGGGTGTTTGACAGGCAAAGACAAAGGCATTCTGAGGAGACCGTGTGACCAATGCATGGTGACCTGAGAGGGAATAGAGACCTGGGTTCCCGGGGAGTGACTGGAGAGGCAGTTGGTAAGGTCATCTGAGGCTGACTTCGAAGGGCCTGGTGTACCAGACGCCGGAGTTGGGCTTTACTTAAAAGCGACTGAAGTCATCAAATGTGTGTTGGCATGATGCATTTGTGTTTTAGGAGGTAACTAGACAGCCTAGAGAGACGGGAGTGATGAAAATCAGACTGGAAGTTGTTAGAGGATAAAGGTGATGAAGCCTGCCCTAGGCAGTGGGATGGAGAGAAAGGGACAACATCAAGAGAGATTTAGGATGTAGCATTGAGCTGAGCTGGGTACTGACGGTGCGGGAAGGAGGAAGGTATGACAGAAATTTGCTAGTTTGGAAAATAGGAGCCCACCATGCCCTGTGCCATGATACCTGAGGAGGGTATAAATGCTTTTATAAACTGCATTCTATTATCTCAGGCGAATCAAAGAATGGAACTGCTTAAGGATTTGGCAGAAGGCAAAAAAGAAGAGCTGAAGGAAGGCATACGAAAAGACATTCTTTCTTTGTGCCCAAAGGGAATCTGCTAGTTTTTCTAAAGTCTGCAATTGTGCCATTGGTGCCAACCATTGTCTGCTGTATAAAGTGGGACTGTCACTCCAGATGCCCACACGAGGCACTTCTGGGAGACTCGTTGAATGAAAGCACACATTGACTGCAGTGCTAGAAGGACATCAAGGTGGAGCTCTCTAGAAGGCAGCTGGAGCTTGGATATAAGGAGATAGCCGAGTTGGAAATCTGGGCTGCCAGTACATAGTTTAGCATCCTGGAGGCAGCTGAAGCCAGGGGCGTGGGTGAAATCACCCAAGGAGGGCCCAAGAGAGAAACCCAGGAACATCAGCATTTAGAGAGCAGCTGGGGAGGGCAGCAGTGGAAACTGAGGCATGAAGAGGACAAGGAGAGAGCAGAGGCTGATTGGCCAGGCTGGCTAAGGCGTAGGGAAAGCCAGGTGAAGCCCCTGAGAGGAAGACAGGCACAGTGGGAGCAAAGAGAAAGGGCTGGACAGGCAGGAGGGCAGGAGGTGGAGTGTTGGCCTAAGCCATGCTGGGGCACACTGCAAGGGAGGCAGTCGCATCTGGACTGCTGTGCCCCGTGCACTAACTCCTCTCAATCCAGGCCCAGCTTAGTTCGCTCCTGGCCCATAATTCACAGCTCTAAGAGATGCCGCCGTCTTGACCTTTTGGAACTCAGGCTTCTGGGATCAGAGATAAAGCCAGAAAGATCTTATTACCTCCCTTCACTCATCTCTGGGATAACAGCTTCTGGACCACTGGGCCAATGCCACTCTTTCTTGTTTTGTGCTGAGAAAAAAATATCAGCATAGATACCATGCAGAGATATTTCTGAGTGTGGCTTTGATCTTGTGGTAGGAACATTCCAGGAGAAAAACAAGAAAAAAGCTTCTTAAGAATCCGCTGCTCCTTGGCTGAAAGATTGGGTGTTGGGCTGATTGATGAAGGTCATGATGCTAAGTGGTTAGAGGAAAAAAGCGCTCTCCTTGCCATCAGAGGAACCACATGGCATGTTCTAATCCTGGCAAGCCAGCTGCTATCTTCGTGGGTAAGCACCTCTAACAACTACCATGTGTCAGCTGGAAATTCTACTTAACCAAAGAAATAAACAACGATATGTAATAACAGTGCCACAAAGAGTCTATGTACCTATGTTCACATCACAGGTGGAATCATGTCTATTAGAATTCTACCTTTGTGTAAACAAATAGACATTTTAATATACATATATAGTTTTGTCTCTGAAGATTTTAATGTGGGAATGTGACGGGACTGGGTTGGAGAATTTAACAATGATATAAAGTCTCTACAAGTCAAATTGTTCTCTCACTTTTTCTACTTTTCATAATCAGTGTAACTATACATAGATAATTAATATAACTAATATGTTTACAGTATATATAACATGTATATAATATAATTAGTATAACGATTAATGCTTATTTCTTTGGTTAAATAAAAATTCCACTGAATGGGAGGTAGATTTTAGAGGTTCTTAACCATTAATGAAGCAAGATAAGGTAGTTATTAGCCTTGAGATAAATCCAAGAAAATTACATTCATTTTGGTGGTTTGGGACTAAACGAAAATTTTTTTTTGAAAAGTAAACCAGCATTTAACCTACAAATTTTCTTTTTAGAAAATTAGCATTTTCTATTTGATTAGTGATGGAAATTGATCATGTCCACATTCCCTCCTTCCCCTTCTTATCAATTCAGAAAATAGAATATATTCCATCTGCTGTTTCTCCTCTCACCCCAAGTCTTCTCAATCTCATTAAGGCAGAATTGCTAAATAATAATAGTTGATGATGGTTTCTGATAAAATGAGGAGAACTGAATAATCATAGAGATTGAGGGAACATCCAACAGATCGAAAGAGGAGGCTGCGTAAATGGGGAAATCCATGAGGTCGCATTATGACAATTTTGACAACTCATTCCCCTCTTTAAAAAAATATTTTCTGAACTGAACTTGAACCATCAAGGTCATTTTTGTTCTGGATGCTTTCTGGTTCTCAGTCACTTATTTATTGAGTGCCTACCATGCACTGCACCAGCAGACCTGAGTGGAGGTAATATTTTGTAAGCTTCCTTCTGGTATCATCTCAGGTGAATCTAGAAATGGAATTGCCTAAGGATTTGGCAGAAGGTGAAAAAGAAGAGCTAAAGAGGAGCATAGAAGGAGACACTTGGCCTTTGTGTCCAGAGGTAATCTTGTTCGTTTTTTCCAAGGTCTGCAATTGTGCCATTGGTGCCAACCACTGTCTGCTGCACACAGTGGGACTCCTCCAGGCCCCCCACCTGTGGCCTTTCTGGGAGACTCCCAAGGGCTGCAATGGGGCCTATGGCCATAAAGTTGGCTCTCGAGAGCCGTAATCTCAGATCCAGATGAGGGATAAGAGGAAAATCCTGTTTGGTTAGATTCTCCAGTCTCTCCGACCTGCACTAGAAATATTTGCTGAGTCTTCCAGTTGAAACTTTCCATTATATGTGATGGGAACAGTGTAACTTACTCCTTTTTTCTTATTTGTCATGGCTACCAGGAATCAGAGAGATGATTTCCAGACCAAAATATTGGGGACCTTATTGCCTCCAAATTTTCCAGTCAGAGATGAAAGAGCTAAGTAAACGGCAAAAGCACATTGCTAATTTAATCACAAAGCCGGGTGCCTGAGGGTTACTGTGAATATTCCATAAGAACATGATGGCCTTTTGACCCTGTTCCCGGCACAGACATGGATGAATCTTGTCAATTTGCTGTTTACTTGTTTAACTTGAGGGGTGACTTGGGTCTCATGTGAGTTTATTTTGCAGAAGAAAGAGAATGCCTTTGGGGAGGTTGCGATCACCAGACGGCTGGCCCTCAGCAACACTGAAGCCCAGAAGTCGGATTGCCCAGCGGCTTATGGGGAGTGACCCCTTTGTTTCTCTGAAGCCGTCTCCTCCTAATCCCCTTAGCTCTATAAAAGCCCGCTGCTTTCTGTTCTTGGGGAGACAGACTCCAGCAAACCCAGGCTCCCATCCACTCATTTTGGCCAATTTAATTAAATCTTTCTCCATCTCCAAGCACCGGTGTCTCAGTGTTTGGCTTGCTGTGCATCGGGCACACAAGCTTGAGATTAAGAGGTTCAGTATCGATCATTCTGTTTAATTGCCTGAAACACAAGGCTCAAATGATCCTGAGAAGAAGACTGGCTCGCACACAGCCTAGTAGAGCTCAGTGCTGGACCGCTGTGAAAAATTCCAATCCAATGGTGGCTTGTTTATTTTAAATTATTCAAAATCATTTTAAAGCCTTAAAAATGGAAGTAGTTGCAACTTCATGTGGTGAAATAACATGGGTATTTGAGAAGAGAAATGTGATATTGTTTATAATGATAATAATATCGGCCACCACGTACTAGCCCTTACTGTGTTCCAGGTTTTCTACTAACTGCTCTGTATACCTGCTCTTCAACCCAAATAGTTCTCAGGGTTAGCACAGTGCTTCTCATTTTCTGCTTGCTGTCTTCATTTCTACTTTGTTAATCTTAATGCATACACACTCTTTATCTTAACACACTTCAAATTTCTTTTGAAACGAGGCAGCATTCTGATCAATGAAAATATTTTGGAGTGATTTTCTAAAGAGTGATCGTAAAGGCTTTAGTTTATCTTAAATTCTAGAGAATGGATGGTTTACCCAGAAGGAAGACAACAGCCGTTCCTGTTAAATTATTCTGCTAATGTTTACTTTGGAAAACGGTGGTATTTTATGCAAACAAAATTGGAAAGCCTCCATTTGGGCTCTGCAGGGACAAAGGCCTTTCCTGTGACTAAGGATTGTCTGGTGGGGCTTCTGGAGGAAGGCTTCGTCAATTCCACACCTGCCCGTGGATCACACGGGGCATGTGGGGTGGGTTCTAGAATGAAGTCTGACTCACTCTTTTTCAATATAAATAATGTGTATTCATATACATGTAATTGTTGTACTTTATGAACAATTTATATATGTGTGTGCATATAAATATACTATGTATGCGATCATTTCTTTAAGCTATTTCTCCCTAATTAGCCCTCCATTAATTGTGCAAACTACTTATGCACAATAACCTATTGAAATACAAACTGTTCAGACAATTCAGACTTCCAGAGAGGAGGACAGCTGCTCACAGATGAGGACTCTTGCCCTTGGCAAGCTGTTTTTGAGGGAGCTGTCAGAAATCTGAGAGGGACAACTAACACCTCCACTCAAGGGCAGGAGAAGCGCCCTCCAGCTGGCAGCTCACTCTATCACTTGGGTGGACGTTCCTTCTGGGGCTGGGATCCCTTTATCTATCCCAGTCACACTGCCATTGGGAGAGGCTTTGGGAGGGCGGGGAGGGGACATCAGGTGAGGTCATTGCTCAAGAATCAGGGTTGTTGACTCAAAGATCCTCTCACGAATTTCCAGGTGCCTTCTAAGCAAGGTTTAAAGGAAACTACACAACAAAGCAAGTGGTCCTTAGAATCTGAAGGACAAGGCAGTTCACTGTCGCTAAATGGAAGCTTTGTTATTAAAAGAGCTCTTATCTGGTGAGGCTCTGAGGTAAAACCAGTTAAGTCCTGACTTGCTGTTTTTGTGTTTTAATGTTGTGCTTTGGCGAGTTCTTATTTTGACCTAGCGGGGGTAAGAGTGGGTGGGAGGGATGGGCCTTAAGGCAATGGAAGGATTTTTACTTCTGTGTTACGTCTTTGTGTATTTACACTGGGGCTTTAGTTATGCAAAAATATGGATAGGAAAAACATTAGTAGAAAATATAACAAAATGGTATGAATGGCTATTTCTTTATGGTGGGTTGTGAATGTGTATCCTTTTTCTTTTCTTTTTTCCAAATTTTGTGTACTGAATGAGATATTTATAATGAAACTGAAATCTGGCAATAAAACTAGCCTTATTTTGCAATTTATACCACACATTTTGTTTGAAAATTCCATCAAATGTAATAGTGTCCCCATGGGCCCATTTAGAGCCAGTTCCAACAGACCCCAACTCTTATCAACAAAGTGATTAAGGATTGTCTTTCAGAAAATTTGCGAAGTCACGTAGCCAGAGCATGCACAGAAGAAATTTTGACCTGAAATGACCATGGAACCAAAGATTCTCCTCCCCACAGATCCAAGGAGCAGGACACAACCCCGAACTTGAAAGTCAGACTCTTACCAGAAGTGAGAGGTCCATCATTCTGGAAGATCTGGTGTTAGAATTCCTTACCCACCTTACCATAAATGTTTAGAACCTCATCATAAATGTTTAGAACCTCATCATAAATGTTTAGAACCTTACCACAAATGCCTGAAGCCTACCACTCAAAACCTGTCCTGCCAGTGTTTCTGTGTGCCAGCCTCTTCTCCCTAACCTCTTAGATTTTGCCCCAAATCGTGAATTGGGGAGACAGATCTGATGGCACACGCCCCCTGTCTCCCTGCAGATTCATCTCTCATAATAAACCTGACTTCTCCCCCAAAAGCTGATGCCATAGTTAATTGGTTTATGCATATTGGGCAAGAGAACCCAATTTTGTGCAGTAACAATAGTCTTCAGCCTTGGGATTATGTGTCACCTGGGAAGCTTTTAATTTTTCAGGGTCTGTGAGGTCTGGCACGGGTGCCTATGCACAGCCAAGGTTGAGGACGGTTTCCACAGAATTTCTCATTAACCTGGGTATAACCCTCTTGTGAGGTCCATGGCAAACAGGACTCTAATATAGAATCATCGAAGCTGAAGGGAGTGTCTGCAGCCACCACTCTGAGTAGTGGACGATGAAGTGTGAGTCTCCTGGGTGTGTCCCTTTGAGCAGGATTCTCCACTGAGGTTTCCAGGTCACTTATTAGCTTCCTGGGCACTGAAAAATACTCGAAGTTAATTCTCAAAGCAATATTCATTTAAAGTCATTTTTTAAAAAAAAAGCATAGATCTCACAGCACTCTTGGAAAACGGGAGAGGGTTTGTGAATAAGATACGTATGGGATACTACAGGTTGGGATTCACCTCTTCAGAGGATTGCTGTCAATCAATAGATCAGCTGTGACTTTTAAGCTAAATATTCAAGAACACATCTGTCTTTTTAGCTAATGTGTGTGAGCGGGTGGTGGTAGTAGTGGTGGTGGTAGTGGTGATGGTAGACAGGATCTGAAACTGTAATATGGGAAGTGACACAAATCCCTCAAGTCTTGGTTTGCAATAAAGATAAAAGACCTAGATGAACCTAATGGAGATTTTTATCTAAAAGTAAGATCAGGGGCTGGCCCGGTGGTACAGCAGTTAAGTTTGCACATTCTGCTTTGGTGGCCTGGGGTTTGCCGGTTTGGATCCCACGTGCAAACATGGCACTTCTTGGCAAGCCATGGTGTGGTAGGCATCCCACATATAAAGCAGAGGAAGATGGGCATGGATGTCAGCTCAGGGCCAGTCTTCCTCAGCAAAAAAAACCCCAGGAGGATTGGCAGCAGATGTTAGCTCAGGGCTAATCTTCCTCAAAATAAATAAATAAAATAAATAAAATAAATAAATAAATAAAAGTAAGATCATTGTTTAAGTAAAATCTTTTGTCTTAATTATCATCTCTATAGGCAATGAGAATATTTTCAGATTCTAGAGAGTCATATAAATGAAAATTTCCTGACATTCAGGTGTACAGACAAGCAAATTCATTTTCAGTTGAGTGGAGCAGGAGACACAGATGGAGTGTCTCTCAGCCTCTGCTCCTCTTTCCTGAGACTTGCCCTGTTCAGACCCCATGGCAGCATGCTTGCTGTACAGGACCTTGCCTTCCTGGCTACAGTTGATGGGATTAGCAGTGGGATGAGCAGAGTCTCAGTCCTGAGAGTTCTGAATTGGACGGTGAGATGCTATTTAGCATTCCTGCAGGTCAGTGAACAGAGGACGTGTAAACTGGGGAGTGAGGGACTGTGCTGGGTCACCTGCATGCATGAGCAGTGACTGCTGGTTTGCTGAGAGACCAGTGGAGTGGACAATTCAGGAGAGAAGTGGAGTGACGGAAGTGGGCTGCTGGCTTCTGTGGCCCCACCTACACCTGATGCCCTTGGATTCCATTGGCCACCTCAAGAGCCTTTCACAAAGGCCTTTTTGCTTAACCTAGCTTGAAGTAGTGTCTTTATCCTGTGACCCAAAAAGCCTTGACTAGAAAAAGTGGTAACTAAGCAAAATGCATAGTTTAACCAGTAATTAACATTGAGAAAGAAATGTAAATGGAAGCAAACATTAAGAATGTATTAGTCATTTTTCCCTGTTTAAAGTTTTAGAGCAGTCACTCTTAGCTTTTTGGGGGTGACAGTGGTTAGAATTCTTTAAGAAGCTGTGGAATTTATGGACCCACTCTTCAGAAAAAAACACATTTTGCATATAATCCATGGACCACAGGATAAGTACTTAGGTAATTAATGCTTTGATTTAAGTCTTAATATATGTACATATATGCCTGTTATTCTGATTATGTCTCCCATATAGATCATAAGCTTCTTTCTAAAGGATAAGATCATTGTGTCTCTGTAAATTTACTTTAGTTCCTTTACCTGAGGGCTCAATTAGTATTATTAAATGAATTAAATTTTTATTATCTGTTAAAATATGGGATATGTATTTTATCAAAATGCTTTTTTATCATTTATTAAAATGCTTTTTTTCATTATTAAGATACTTTTTGAATGCAAATCATGACCTGTGCTGTAAGCTTTATAAATGTCCTGTTAAGGCGGATTGAGGATACCTCACACTGAAATTGAATACTGTCTTCCGTAGGCTACTCTTCTCTTACCACTATTGACCTTGTAATTTCTCATAGAAGGGCCCAAGCAGCTGTCAAGGTCAGACTGTTCATATTTTAATCCGGTCTCTACTATTCACCATATAATTCCACCAGGACAGCGCCTTCTCGCTCTCTTTTTTTTTCAGTCAATCTAGTGAAAGATTTGTCAATTTTGTTAATCTTTGAAAAGAACCACCTTTTGGTTTTGTGGATTCTTTTTACTATTTTAACTATTCTCTACTTGGCTTATCTTTAATCTTTTTAATTTCCTTCCTTTTGCTGGCTTTGGGTTTACTTTGTTCTTCTTTTTCTAGTTACTTAAAGTAGAAGGTTATGTTATTAGTTTGACATCTTTCCTTCTTAATAATGTAGGCATTTATAGCTATAAATTTTACTCTTAGCACTGCTTTTGCTGGATCCATCCCATACATTTTGGTATGTTGTGTTTTTGTTTTCATTTGTCTCAATGTATTTTCTAATTTCCCTTGTGTGATTTCTTCTTTGACTCATTGGTGGTTTAAGAGTGTATTGTGTTTAATTTCCATCTATTTGCAAATTGTTCAATTTCCCGTCTGTTATCAATTTCTAGTTTTATTCCCTTATGATTAAAAAAGATACTTTGTGATTTCAATCTTCTAAAATGTAGTACAACTTTTTTGTGGTCTAACATATGGTCTATCCTGGAGAATGTTTCATGTGCACTTGGAAGGAAGGTGAAACTGCTGTTGTTGAGTGGAGTGTTCTGTATATGTCTGTTAGTTCTAGTTGGTTTATAGTGTTGTTCAATTCCCCTGTTTCCTTATTGATCTTCTGTCTGGTTGTTTAATCTATTATTGAAAGTGGAGTATTGAAGTCTCCAACTAGTACTGTAGAATTTTCTATTTCTCCCTGCAATACTGTCATTTTGCTTCATATATTTTGGGGCTCTCTTGTTAGGTATGCATATGTCTATAATTGTTATGTCCTTTTTGGTGGCTTGAACCTTTTATCAATATATAGTGCCCTTCTGGGGCCAGCCCCATGGCCGAGTGGTTAAATTCGCGTGCTCCACTTTGGTGGCCCAGGGTTTTGCCAGTTCTGATCCTGGGCACGGACATGGCACCACTCATCAGGCCATGTTGAGGTGGTGTCCCACATGCCACAACTAGAAGGACCCACACTAAAATATACAACTATGTACTGGGGTATTTGGGGAGAAAAGGAAAAATAAAATCTTTAAAAAAAAAAAAATATATATATATAGTCCCCTTCTTTGTCTCTTGTAGCTAACATCTGTTGCCAATCTTCCTCTTTTTTTTCTCCCCAAAGCCCTAGTACATAGTTGTATATCCTAGATGTAGGTCCTCCTACTTCTTCCATGTGGGGTGCCTCCACAGCATGACTTGATGAGTGGTGTGTTAAGTTTGCACCCAGGATCTGAACCAGTGAACCCTGGGCCGCGAAAGTGGAGCGCGTGAACTTAACCACTCAGCCACAGGGCCGGCCCCTGTTGGTATGCTTGATAAAGCTTCATGTCCCTCAGGCCTGGTTCTTTCTTCTTTATTTATTTTTAATTTATTTTTGCTCCTCAGATTGGTTAATTTTAATTGCCTTAACTTCAAGTTTGCTAGTTCTTTCTTCTGCCTGCTCAAATCTGTCATTGAACCCCTCTAATGAATTTTTCATTCCAGTTATTGTAATTTAAACCTTCAGGGACTGCCATGGTTGCATAGTGGTAAAGTTTATGGACATCACTTTGGTGGTCCAGGGTTTGCAGGTTTGGGTCCTTGGTGCAGACCTATACACCGCTCATCAAGCCATGCTGTGGCGGCATCCCACATAGCAGAACTAAAAGGATGCACAACTAGGACATACAACTATGTACTGGGACTTTGGGGAGAAAAATAAAAAAGAGGAAGATTGGCAACAGATGTTAGCTCAGGGTCAATCTTCCCCACCAAAAAGCAAAAAAAAAAAAAAAAAAAACCAAAACAAACCCAAAACAGTACCAACAAAGCTTCAGAACTTCTGTTTGGTTCCTTTTTATAATTTCTATATTTTTATTTGTTTATTTATTTGCTATTTATCACTATCTGTTTATATATTGTTCTCCTGATTCCCTTCATTCTTTTTATGGTTTCCTTTAGCTCATTGAGGATATTTAAGACAGTAGAGTTAATGCCTTTGACTGGTAAGTCCAGTGTCTGGGATTCCTCAGGAACAGTTTCTGTCAAATCTTTTTGTCCTGTGAATGAGCTATACTTTCCTGTTTCTTTGTATACTTTACAACTTTTTGTTGAGAACTGGACGTTTTGAGTATTATGATGTGGTAACTCTGGAAATCAGTCTCTCCTCTTCAGTGAGTGCTGATTTTTGCTTGTTGAGGGCTGCAACCACCTGCTTATTTAGTGACTGTTCCAAACTATTTTTGCAAAGTGTGTATTTCCAGTTAGTTGTGTGTGGTCATGGAAGTCTCTGTTCCATAATCTACGCAGTCAGCTAGTGACCTGGCAAAGATTTCTTAAGTATTTGGCTCCAAAATGGGGGGGAAAAAAGGTGGCTTGTCACTTTAAATCTAATAGAAGTCACCAGGTGAAGCCACTGCAGCCCAAGAAGACTGGATCCAAGGCAAACAATTGCCATGGTCCCTCAGGTAACTGCCAACACAGCCAAAAGGTGCAATCCAAAAAGTTTTGAAGCCCAAGGTCC